TTATTTATTTATTTATTTATTTATTTATTTATTTATTTATTTATTTATTTATTTATTTATTTATTTATTTATTTATTTATTTATTTATTTATTCTGCTACCTATTTCTCCTGTCAGGTGACTCTGGGCATTCTAAAAGGATCAGATGAAAAATTTCAGAATTTTTAACCAATTTCACTGTATTTAGACAATAAAGGCTAAACTACTATATAATAATAATTACATCTAAATATGCAAAGCTAAATAGTGGATAGAAAGTCACAAAGCTCATGAAACTCAAATTCTGAGCAACCAATCAGGAGGACCAAGAAGGTATATTCTTTCTCAGATGAGCTTTTAAAAGAGAAGGGGGTGTTCTATTTTGTGTCCTTTTGCTTTCCATGCCTACATGATGGCTGGTTTCCTGAGTAAGAAATGTGTCCCATCTGGAGAAATGTTATAAAATCAGTGCTAGAAAATCAAAGAAACATCAACTATGTAAATGTGAATTAAAATATTTAGACAAATGATTTTAGGAATTTAACTGAACCATTCCCCTGTATCACCTGTATTATACTTGATTTTGTCTATACTACATGGCTATGTATTTCTCCCTGAAGATTAGCAGTGGGTTTAAGTCTAAAAATTATATTTTGCTTTTTTAAACCTTTTTATTGTTTTAAACTCTCCATTAGCGTTTTAGCATTGATTTATGTTTAGAAATATATTTTCTTCTGAGACCAATGGTGTTACAGGGTCTAGAATGCATGCTGGCCATTCTGCCAGCCATAGAAAGGCAAAAGTCCTTTCTTTTGAAAGTCCAGAAGTTGTTTCCCTATCTCTTTCCACTTTATAAAGAGACAGAAAGATTCTGTTTTTTTTTTTAAAAAAAGAGTATTGGCATTATTCATGAGACTGTAGGATATAAAGAAAAAGTGCAATGATTCTTTCCTGAGGGAAGAACTAATTCAGCATATCACACATCTGAATATGAAAATTGTATCCAAAATAATTGAAACTAAAAGAGGATTAACCTGTGGTAAGAAAAAAAACCAAGAGCGAAAACTTGGCTGTTTTCACAGGAGGCCGTAAACTAGAAATACTTCCAAATGATTTTTTTTAATATGGTCATATAATAACTCTTCTCCTTTATATTTGGCATGCAATAGCAATAATTTAAAATAGCAGCCAAGAAAATCACACAGAGATCTTCAGAAGAAATGCACTGAACTCAAAAAAGCTACTGGTGAGAAATGGCGAATTTACATTCTAAGAAAAGTGGAAGGTATTATGATGAAAGGCAGATAGGTGTTGGAGCTGGGACTGCTGAAAATTCTCTTCTGATCAAGGAGAGATTTTAAGAATAAATTGTATGCATTTGGTTAGTTCTTTCTCTGTCCTCCATTCCTTCATTCATGTAAGTAGATGGCAGAAACAAATGTTTTAGTAGTCTTTTGGAAACAACTGGGAATTGTGATATTCCATTGAGTTAAAAGCTATTAATACAGCCTTTTATGAACTCAAGATAAACCAATCTCATCTTTTTAAATCACTTTGGAGTTTATTTTTTAAAAACTCTTTGTTAAAGTTTGAAAGCTTGCAAAAATCACAAGTCTGGTTTTATTTGCTGGATGAGCCCTCCTTCAATTGATTAAAAAAAATGTGAATAAATTTTGTTAAGATTTTTTTTTAATATACAACAAAACTTTGATTACAGTGTTGATTTTAAAAGTTTTAAATGAATTAAAAGTTCAAATATATTTAATTAAAAGAAGATTCAGAAATTAATTAAAAGGATCCTTTCTCAATGGAAAATTCCTTTTGTTTAGACTTTAACTTTGAAGTATGCCAGAAGGTATCAGATGGTTATGTTAATAGAAATGATGGATGAGAGTG